TGTTCTTCATCATCACCCTAATCATTGCACAACATTCCAGCCTAAGCATAAACCTATCACTACAGACGTGAGTCTAGCATAGCTCTAGTAAACTATAGTCTGAGTACAGTTGCGCCTGCTACTGTTGACTGCTGGCCGCTGGCTACAGTTGCCGCCAGTGGCAACTGTACGTGGGCTATAGTTATAGAGCTAGGTCTAGCATATATGATAAATTAAACATGATCTGTAACAACACGATGCTGATGGCAGCATAATAATTAATATAATCTCATTAAAATCTGAACACTGACCACAGGCCCTTGGAGGCTCAAATTTCAAGAAGAGTAAGACTATATTAAGAGCGAAAGCTTTGCTCTTAATATAGTCTTATACTCTTCTTGAAACTTGAGCCTCCAAGGGCCTGTGCACTGACAGATTGTATGACAGCAAAATATAGAATATATGAAGAGCGTATAAAGAAGGAGAGTGTACAACGGTGAAATGCTGAAACCATGTTGCAGTATTAGTCGAATTAATAAACTTTTCCCGTTTTATTTTGATGATTCTTTGCAGTATTAATTGATCAGCTGTCTTACCTTGTTAATATAAAGCAAATCACATGTCCCTACGATGCCTCTACGCTGAGATAATGAGCGGTGAAAAATCTGGTATTTTTGCCGAAAACCGACTCCAGATCAGTCAGTACTGCGACAGTCTCTTGTTTTGTGCACTGTATGTTGCTTCGGTCGCCGCTGTGTAGCGCTGACTTGATACGTTATTACTGCAGCGTTACTACATCCAGCGTAAGGGGCGGGTCATCACCATGGCGATAAATAAAAAGACGTTTTTGTGGAGTAACGGCTGCGTCAATGACTGGAAATGCGAGAAAAGATAGTAGAAGGAAAATAAATTTCATTGTCAATGAATGACGGAAACACGCGAGGTTTCCCGAAGCTATCGCCAGATACAAGAGACAGTCGCAGTACTGACTGATCTGGAGTCTTTTTTCGGTGAAAATACCAGATTTTCACCGCTAATTATCTCAGCGTAGGGCATCGTAGGGACAAGCGGATTGTTTTATATTAGCAAGGTAGGACAGCTGATCAATAATAACTGCAAAGAATTGTCAAAATAAAACGGGGAAAGTTTATTAATTCGACTAATACTGCAACATGTTTCAGCATTTCACCGTTTAACCGGACCGCCCTAGCTGTGACTAGAACTATGGAAACTGGTCACCCAAACCTCTGGATCCGCCCCTGCATTTCAATCGATAACGTAACTGATACAGTAGCGCGGCACGTGGGTGTTATTTGTTTATAAACAATCTAGTCTGACTGACTCTTCTCCCTCTCTCTCTCCTCTGCCGCTCTCTCTCTCTCTTTTCTCTCTCTCTCTCTCTCTCTCTCTTCTCTCTTCTTCTCTCTCTCTTCTCGCCTGCTCTCTTCTCTCTTTTCTCTCTCTCTCTCTCTCTCTCCTCTCTCTCTCTCTTCTCTCCTCTCTCTCTCCTCTCTCCTCTCTCTCTCTCTCTCTCTCTCTCTCTCTCTCTTCTCTCTCCTCTCTCTCGCTCTCTCTCTCTCTCTCTCTCTCTCTCTCTCTCTCTTCTCTCTCTCTCTCTCTCTCTCTCTCTCTTCTCTCTCTCTCTCTCTCTCTCTCTCTCTCTCTCTTTCTCTCTTTCTCTCTCTCTCTCCTCTGCTCTCTCTCTCTTTCTCTCTTTCCTCTTCTCTCGCCCCCCTCTCTCTCTCCTCTCTCTCTCTCTCTACTGCAATAAAAAAAGTGTTGTGTTTGCTGAAATGATGTGTACGCAACTGCGTATCTGCATATCTGCGCCTAACAAAGGTGTCACTACGCACGACTGAAATGTTACGTTTATAACTTACGTTGAGTTGTGCATCTCACCCTTTAATATATACATACCTCCCTCCAGTAGGACACCTAGCTGTTCCTATAAAGTTTTATCATATGCTGGCACCTTGGGTTTGAGAGGTAATCACTAGGGTGGCTTAAAAACCATTACCTGTGGCAATTACTAGTAAATTAAACTTGTGTCACTATAGTCTCAGCAGGCTGTGGATATGCTGCAGGCACTGAAAAAAATGCTACAAAATTCTGCAGAATATTAATCTTCTAGTAATTAATGGAAAAATAATTTAAATTATAGGATGTCAGATGAAAGGTGGTCATGGGTGTCAAAATGTCCCTGCTTGATTCAATTAAAGCCTGCACTTAAAAAAAAACAACGCTTGCACGCATTGAATTCAGCAAATTACATTTTGTACATGACATTCTATGACATTATTGTAACCTTGTTTTTTTTATTTGCCTACTTCAGCAATTGATACAGAATTTACAGGACTATCAAGCAATGAGTTGAACAAAAACAGGTGAGTAAAACCAGGGAGAAAAAGCTATAATCTGCAAATAGCAGCATCTGGTAATTTCAAGGAATTAATAGGTTAAAACATTGTTATATAGCATCAGGAGTAGATAATAGGGAAGGAGTGTGACTTCAATAAACAAGGGAAATTCGTTATTTACTAGCCTTATAATACCTACGATTTACTACGCGTAACTCGATCATCCAACTTGAGCTCAAATCGTACACAGTACATTCGCCTAGCATCGTGCGAAATCGTTTCCTCGTATACACCCGCAATCCGGAGATAGACTAAAACGTACGACACGATTTTCCATTCTGCTGCCAGCAAAGTCGATGCGTTTTGCGCCGAAATTTAAACAAAAGGCAGCTACTAACAACAGCTTGCTCTCTCGGCAAGGCGGTGTGGCGCGCAGGGAGATTGGACATCGACGCAACACTCGGCGAGATGACCTTTGACCTGGCATACAGCTACATACCGGCATACCGACATACCGGCATACAGTTGGTATGCCCCACGCACGCACGTTCACCGCAATCAGCAGCAGCTCCAGCTCCAATCTCCCTGCGAGCCACACCGCCTGGCCAAGAGAGCAAGCTGTGGTTAGTAGCTGCCTTTTGTTTAAATTTCGGCGCAAAGCGCATCGACTTTGCTGACAGCAGAATGGAAAATTGTGTCGTACGTTTTAGTCTATATCTCCGGATTGCGCATGTATACGAGGAAACGATTTCGCACGATGCTAGGCGAATGTACTGTGTACGATTTGAGCTCAAGTTGGATGAGTTACGTGAAGTAAATCGTAGGTATTATAAGGCTAGTAAATGACGAATTTCCCTTGTTTATTGAAGTCACACTCCTTCCCTATTATCTACTCCTGATAGCATACATTACCTTCCTTCAGCAAGAATTTCATTTCTTTGGTATACAAGTGTCATGGCAACTTGCAACCAATATATTGTAAATCCACTTGTAATTGTAACTAACATTTTTTAATTATTGCAGCCTGTTTGACGATGGAGCAGCACGTTACATTAAGCAAAAAGATCACATAAAGCAGGTGACTGTGTCACAGATTGGTATTTCAATTTTCACTGAAGTTCCAAAGGAAAACAGGTAATCTTTGACAATGTGACTGCAGGGGTAGAAATTAACTTTTGAACACGGGAGTCGATCCAACTAGATAATACGCCCTTCCCTCAAAAAGAGGGAGTCCGCAGCAAAATGAGGGAGTCCGCAGTCTGAAGTTCAAAATTAAAGATATTAACAATAACGCATGTGCTTATTTTGAAGATTCATGCGGTTGCACGTCTGCCAAATCTTCTGGACATTGCTGAAAAAATACGGTAATTCCGCGAAGCCGTGCTCTGGAATGAACTAGTTAGTATGGAAGAATTTAAAGGGAGTCATACGGACTCCTGCATTTGTGAAATCAGGGAGTATTTGACTCTGGACTCTCGTTAATTTCACACCCTATGACAGTATTCCTCAATGACATCTTTGAAATGTGACATGCTTGCGCTTGAAATGGCGTGACAGCTTACGTGGCATTGCTATATGTTTCGAGGTAGTTTTGCGTAATGAATTCTATAGCAGGTGCATCTTGTTCTCTGCTCTGATATTAGGTATGAAGCATCTACCTTCAACTTCTTCTTGTTCCCAGTCAGCATTGGCCCGGTGGATGTGCGATTCACTTGTCAGGTTCGTTTGAGTGAAATCGTACCCAGTCACCTTTTATAAATGGATTATCTGTAAGTTAACTTGATCGAAATTCTTTTGGGATCACTAAAATATAACGTATTGCTGCCAGCTCTTACTATGTACGCGAGTATCATGCGTGGTCATCATTTAAGGCAAATAAACATAGAGTGCATGTTTACGTAATCAAAATAAAATAAAAAGAAATTAACTTATGGCGTATGGAATATGTTTTGTTCAATTCCCATTTATTAGAAATATTAGCTATCTTCATGTAGCCAGTGTCAGTCTCCTCAGTATCGTGGATAGTAATAGAGACATTGCATGTATAATTTCAGTCGTCGTCCCTGCGATTTCTTTGTCAGCATAATTTCGATTTCAATAAGGTATGGACTAATTCAATTGCTTATAAAAACAGACAATTGTGTTCTATAGGTTTTAAGGCATACTCTTATACTCGTTTCATTATAATATGTTGAACAACTGTGCTAAATATTAACATGTGTTTAATGTTTTCAATTGCATGTGTAATGGTTATTCTAGGTCATATTTTTTATATTATGAATGTCATAAAGTGCAATTTAATGTGGTATTTTTCCTCCGTAGAATACCAAATAAACATACGTGGGTTAATTTATTGCAGTTTGTGTATGATGGCATACCATACTTGAATGAGGAGCAGGAGATACTATTTCACCAGGCATTGGATGACTCTTTGATGGTTTTTGAATCCGAAAAGTATGACACCACTTTTACTCTAGGTTCTAGGGTTATTTTCAGTTAATTTATGTTAAAATTATGCTACATACAAAGTTTCATGGTTCAATCATCATTAGAAATTTTTTTTTTAATGTTTTAAAACTAACGACTACAGTATGATTACAACGACGGTGGTACCACTCAAAGCGCACGATCTGAAAAGTACTTTCTAAAATAATTTAATCATCAACGAATTCAGACCTGTTATTTCTCTTCTGGATTCCCATTATTTTCGCCTGGATATCACAATTATTGCTATTACCGTGTGGCAGCAACTTTGATAGAAGAGAAATGAAATTACTGAGCACAACGATCGCTGAATGGCTTGCAACTGCGAAGGAAGAAGATACCATCAGACTAGAGAAACCGGCCGGTAAGTACCGTATATGATCGCGTCATAACCGCGGGCACCTATAAGCCGCACCTCAATTTGAATCGGGTAACCAAGTATTGCGCATAGTATATTTCCCCTCACGGTATGGTGCACTTATAAACCGCAGAGCAAATACAGGGTTGAAATCTGAGGCCAAATTTGCGGTTGTTACGCGAGTATATACGGTAGTGTGGCTTCTCTCTTTAAGCTCGATGATTGAAAATTTTGCAGAGCGTAAATGGAGCAGCGTGTGAAACGGACGACCTCATACTTTTGTTGGTGTTTATGCGCTGCAGGTGTTTCGGACTACTCGATCTACACTCAGCTGAGACAGACGTTCCCTGGTATTTCAATCTGCTGCAAGGATGACACCCACGTAAGGAAGCCATGCCAGCTGGGTCCCGCAAGAATGCCGATCATTATTATTATCTGTGAAGCCGTGATTATGCGAGCCATCGGCATCGCTGCCATGTGTAGAGTCATGCTCATCGTGTCCATGAGCGGAGCGCATCGCACCGCTGCCGTCAAGATTTATCCCTGCTTGCTATTGGCGTGAACTGGAGCTGTGCCAATTTTTCATGTGCATGTGTTAATTAGGTGGAATGTCAAAAGTTAGAAGAATCCAAACGAATAAGCAAGCAGCTAGATGAGCAGGAGAAGGAAAGGTATTGTGTTGAGTGCATTCTATGATTGATGTATATCATTTGCTAAATTTATATATATATATATATATATATATATTTATTTTAATTATTGCTGTAAGTTAATATTCATGTATATGACATGGTTTACTAAGTTGTCTTTGCCTACTGTTGTGTGTTGTTCATGCAGGTTTTGACTAGGAAAGATTTTTGTAGAGACATGACACCAAATTCACTATTTCTTGCTTGTGAAATCTGCAATGCCTGTGTCAAAGCACACGCAGGAGTGGCGTCAAAGCACGCGCAGGGGTGTCATCAAAGCATGCGTAGGGGTGTCTTGTCTTTCGTAGAGGAGATTGGAAGGTGGCTGATGCGATTCTCTGCTTTCAGGATACTGGACGGCATCTTGGGCTTCACACGTGTGTTTCGCCTGATGGTCAAGCACCGCAAGCCCCTGATCGGCCACAACTGTATGATGGACCTCATGTTCATCTACGAAAAGTTCTACAGGCCACTGCCTGGTGCGTGCTCGCTCTCTCTCTCTCTCTCTCTCTCTCTCTCTCTCTCTCTCTCTCTCTCTCTCTCTCTCTCTCTCTCTCTCTCTCTTTCTCTCTCTTCTCTCTCTCTCTCTCTCTCTCTCCTCTCTCTCTCTCTCTCTCTCTCTCTCTCTCTCTCTCTCTCTCTTTCTCGCTCTCTTTCGCTTTCTCTCACTTGCTCTCTCTCTCTCTCTCCCTCCCTCTCCGTCTCTCTCTCCCCTTCCTCTCCCTCTCTCTATCCCTCTCCCTCTCCCCTCCCCCTCTTTCTCCCTCTTTCTCTTCCCCTCTCTCTCCCTCTCCCTCTCTCTCTTTCTCCCTTTCACTCTCCTTTTTTATTCCTCTCTGTTTTGCTCGCACTCCCCCTGTCTCTGTTTTGCTCACACTCGTCTTTGTTTCGCTCGCACTCTCCCTCTCTCTGTATCTCTCACTCTTCAACTCACTCTCTCTATCTCATACACACAGCGAAAATATGTTATCAAGTGCTAGCCAAATGATACTGTATCGACCCTGCATTCCTATACACTCCATGGCACTTTTATTAATTTCCATGAAAATGCACACATGCACACAAATACATGTTTTGCCCATAATGGGACGCGTTAACTCATATTAAGACGTATTTTTGTTTTAATTTCAGACAAATATGCAGACTTCAAGAGAACACTGAACGAGCTTTTCCCATTTTTGATTGACACGAAACATGTATCGTCACACCTGAGGCCGGTGAGGGATGAATTCTAATGTTTAGATGCAGTCTTCATTTTCGGTAGTAGTCGTTTGATTCAGTAGCTCTGGAGGCGAGCGTCACGCAAGCGTGATTACTGAGATTTTCTTCCTGGCCTGGACATGAACTAATGAAATTTGTTTCCATAAAATTCACCGCGCATATTGCATAAATTTCGTTAGTTTTCTCGATAAGATTTGAAGTTTGATACATGACAGATTGTAATATTCCATTACATTGTTACGATGGAATGATTAAATTAATTTGTGTGTTTTTAGTCTGGGACGTTATTAAGTGTTGTTATTTCACTGTGCATCAGTGCTGTATTTAATTTCAGCAATTTAAAGAAACTGAATTGTTCAACAATACAGGTCTGATGAATCTCTACCAAGCCTTTTCGAGGTATGATAACTGAACGTACATGCTCAGATCCTTTGATCTGACTCACTTAAAAGTCTGCATAGGCTGAAATTGCATTAAACAGATGGACTGCATTTCTTGATTTTTACACAAGTTTTGTAGACTGACTTCGGTTATATGCTGCACTTTAAGAAATGAAGATTATTGCGATATTGATCTGTGTTTCAGCAAAGAAGGAATGTACATCGTACTGTTTAGCCCTTCTGTCTCGCATTCCCACGCTTACACCAGATACAGTAAGCAGTTTCAATTACTTACCACTCGCTTATCGTTAATTAATATGTGCGAACTGCGATTAATATGTCACTAATTAGTTGGGATTACATCTGAAGGAGTTATCTAGTAATATGAAGAACGTTATATATGTGTTGATTCGCACAGAGAAATGTCGAGTAGCTATTATATTTTCAGCATTAAAAATTGGGCAGCATGAAATATCCCTATGATATTTCATATTGAATGCTTATTTGATATCAATTCTTTTGCCATTTTATATAAACCTCACAAATCAATGTGTTTGCACGGAAATGATTTTGCTATGTGTGGTTTGCATCTCTGTCAGATTTCTTAAAAGAATGGATATTAGGCTGAGGTCGGGTAACTCTCTCGTGATCGCAACACGCGACTGTTTGTGGTCTGCATGAAGAATCTTCTACTTTCAGAGAACAAGAGCATGATTCACGAGGCAGGCTACGATGCCTACATGGCTGGATACAGTAAGCGCAACCGCGGCAATTTAATACGGCCGTATTGATTCGTGACTATACTTCAGATTTTTGCATTTAATACCTCTCCATCACGTGGGATAATGGTTGTGAGTATATTATATCCACATTCAGAGTGACAGGAACGCTGTGTATAGCTGCTTAATGTAATTATTAGCTCATCTGACATAGTCAGATGCAGCTTGTAGAATCGCATGATCGTCCGTCCGTGCGTCCGTCCGTCCGTCAACAGTTGGGCACAAATCTTAACCGCTCGACGTACGGTCACGATATTCGGGACATGGGGGGTAATCCGAAAACAAGTTGGGATGTCGAAGCTGGGGGTCAAAGGTCAAAGGTCAAGAGGTGTAAAAGAAGGGGGAACATTCACTCCTTAACTTAAGGTATAAGGAGGAAATGCAGAATTGCGGCACAAATCTAAACGGCTCGACCTATAGTCTATCAGCTGGGGGAAGTCCTGTGTGCATTTATATGTCCCCGCAGTTTGACGCT